GAAATCGTTCTTTGGTGTAAATTAAAGATTACTGATACCCTCTGATATTATTTGCAGTAAGAAATTCAGTTTGCTGTTTTTATAAGCCTTAAAACTGCCAACAGTTTTAGCTTTAGGAACCATCTTCAGTTTGTAGGGAGAAGTTTCAAGCAAAAGAGATTAACACCAAAGAACTTGATAAAAATAAAAAAAAATGCCTCGAGCAGGAGTCTGTTCTTTTTTATAGATTGGAGCTTCAGAAAAAAACAATTCTCACTCCAATGATCAGCAGAGCTAAACTGCTTGCTTTACCCTGTAGTCAAAAGCTTCCAAACTCATAAATGAAGAAGAAGAGCAATAAGTGGATTTTACCCCTAAATAATAGCATCAGTCTTGCAACGAGCTGCAATTAGATTGTATAATATGTATATGGCTCAATCTTAAAACCATGCATTTGGAGCTTCACATCATCAACTTCATTGGATGACAATCATGGCGGCGCCTCAAGGCAGAGGCCAAGAACAGCTCTCGACAATTCCACGAAATATGCCTTTCAAAACGCTATATCTATGGCCTCCAACGCCTGCTGGAGCTACGGTCACAAAATGTTTTTAATACAGATTTTCTTGACCGTTTAAAAAGCTGCAGAGTGTTTTCTAAACAAAACAACATCAGGCTCACTTACCAGGCCAGGAAGAGATGCACGAGAAAGAGGAAGCAAGGCTGCAGAGCCAGGCTAATGGCGAAAGATACAGAAAGATTGAGTTTTTAATGTTGGGAAAGATCGTTAGATGTTCTCCAGCACTATCATCCATGCTTACTACAGCAAACACAGAGCATGCTTGCTTGTAACGTCATTGCATCCTCTACTGCGCATCCAGGACACTTAGGTTGTATGAATGCAGTTCACACAGGAGAACACATACAATGCATATATTTGGAAATGTGAACAGCAATGTAAAAAAATCAGAATTTAGCATCAAAGCCTGCAGTGTGAAAGAAGCCTTAATCAGTGTAATGCTGCCACCAGCATTTTTCACTATAGGGACAGTGTGTGACCCTATGCCAGTGACTGCTTCTCTCTGGTTAAGAATCTATTTGCCCAATCTGTGATTTAAATACTATATGATTTTTTATTTATTTATTTTTTTAGATTTATAGTTGTAAAATATTTTAAAATGCATATTTTTTTATTCCACTGAACAAATCTGCCCTACTTTTGGTTAAAGGTGTGTCTTTTTTTCCAAGTCAAAATATCAAAACATCTTTTAAGACAGCATGCCTATGAGAGGTCTGCCATCTTTTGTGGTCTCCCTGATGCCCTGCATTCAATAAGCATCAAGGACTTTTCCCGTTTGTGGGTTTGGCCTTGTACCAGAGTCATGTTTCTGATGCTTCATTGTCTGTCATCTAGTTCGGCCCACTTCATTTCAAGGTGAACTTAATCCCTCAGTCCCTGAAAAACGCACTCAGGGAGTAAAAGTTAGAGTGAGAATCCTCCAAGGTCACTATTAGTGTCTTCCCTCCCTTTTGGGAGCTGCTCAGTTCCTGACAAGTAGATGACAGGTTCAATTTCTCCGACTGTCAGGAGCTCCCTGTTTTTTAAAAGCCTCTGAGACAGATATAAGCCAGAGGAAGATGTTTCCTGACTTTTTTGGTATCATCTGAGGGGCATTCTTTTCTCCAGCCTTATCTCTCTGTCAGTAATGGCCCTTCAGTGATTCCTGCCAGATATCTACTGTGGACTGACTGTTAGGTTGGGCAGATATAGCAAAGCTTTCTAAGATATGGTAGATCTGCAAGGTCTGTTTTTCCACATGTCTCTGCCCTTTAGTGATTGGTAATTCTCACTGATTGGCAGCTTGACCCTGCTCTGCTGCATCTTAGCAAAGCAGAAGGGGATAAAAAAAAAGAAGTGATTGATTTGAGGTGCCAAAGGGGTTGCACAGGGAAGTTTCTTTGACCACCTTTTCAATCAAAAGTTCAAAAAGAGTCCACCTATTCTTCTGGGTGTGATGAAGATTTGAGTAAAAGATCTTTGAAGTGACAGATAATGGATATCTTCATCTGGCACTCCTGACTTGAAGCTTGGATTCAGCTTTTATTGTTTTGCACAACAATCCACTAAGGGGAAGGATGCTATGTCAGAATTGTTTTAAAGTCTTTAAAGGGAGCGGTGGAAACTTCAAAGATGGAAACCACAGTGACTGACCACGGCAATCTCTACCTCCTTTTGATAAAAAGATTATGAGTTAATTACTTGGTGACTGTATTAAGTCCCCCAAATAATTTTCCCCCTGAAGGTGTTTAGATAATTCTACATCTACTCACTTTTTAATGACACGTTCATATTTAGTGGATGCAACAGAGAAAAGAAAGCCAGATAAAGAGTTGAAAGCAGTAACAAGAAGCTGGGTGGTGGCAACATGCAGGGATCATGCTGTCCTCCCTTTGAGATCATCTTAACTAGAGTTGTCCATGCTGAAGTTGACGAAGAGGCTCGGCCGGGGGTCTTTGAAGTGCTGCTTCGTTATTACATGGATGGTCTCTTTTGAGCTGCTGTTATGCATCCAACACACTATATTTAAGACTGCTTCTATACTTTAAAAGCAACAAATGTAGGTGGTACCCAGTCAGCCCCAAAAGAGCGGAGAAATGCCTGACATAAAAGATAACCAAGGAATATTTATAGCACATTTGTGTCTTTTTTATGTTTGAGCATTATGTAACTTGCTCTTTTGAGTAGTTATCTCAGACATTTGACTTGATACTCACTTTAGAGCATGTAAAACAACAGCTAATGTAAGAAGAAACGAAATAGCAGATGATTAGAGCAAATTATTTTGATGTTCAATCCTTTGCTTTAGGTGTTTGTGAATGTTTGTGTGAATGTGTTTGTGTGTTCTTCTTAACGCCAGTGCATCCACAGAGGTTTGGGTGGATCGAAAAGATTTCAATAGAGAGAGGTATCATTTAGAGAAAGAGTACAGGTAGAATGTGACATCATGGTGTAAAACATAAACCATGGAGCAGAAAAGTCATCAAATTGAAGATAATATTGAAAAAAGGTAACAATACAGCAAATGGGCTGCTTTTGGAATGTCATTTAAACAAACCAGAAACTGGTCAGGGAGGTTGCAAAGAAGATGAGAGTGAAATAGAAGAAGCTGCATGATATTGCTTTCAATTGCTGGTTGTATAGTAAGTGTGACACTAGGGGCTGGTTAAAACCTTATCAACATTCTGTGGTGGAACTTGTTTTGGTTAAATGAAAACAGACTTTCCAGGCAAGGATCTCAAAACATATGCCAGAAACAACTCTACAAGAGACAGAAATGACACAGGAGAGGCAACGTATTGTTTTATTTTTACCTTTCTTCTCATTTTTGTAGAGTTTTTGTAGGGGGAAGTCGTAGTTTAATGGCAAAATATAGGCTACAAAGATATGCAATTTCATTCTTTAGCAAAGATTTCAAGCATACAATAAAACAAAATTAATGAGTAGAAAACCTAAGTTTTGGAATACCCTAACCAAATTCTAAATTTAATAAGTGATGGAATAATTGTGGAGTAACAAATGTCGTCACAATCTGACAGATTTGGGAAATGTTCACAGGACAATCTATGCATGCTGAGTAAAGCATTTAGTGCAGCTTTCTGCCTCACAATTATCTCTCCCTTTTTTGTTGAACTGTACAACTGACAATTGAATTCAAAGGAAGAATTGTTTTGAATTGGTTCATGGTGGTCTCAATTTGTGGCATCTTGTTTGTTCATTACAAATATCAGGGCATGTTGTTATAAGAGAGTAATAGAGAAAGCGGCTGGATAAGCTAATTAGGAAGGCCAGCTCTGTGATTGGATGTCCTCTACACTCAGTGCAGAAGATGCGAAAAAAGGATCCTAACTAAATTAACATCTCTGTTGGATAATGTCTCCCACCCCATTCATGAAGCTGTTGCTAAACTTGAAAGCTGCTTCAGTAACAGACTGCTGCACCTTAAATGCACCAGGGGCGTTATCACAGATCCTTCCTCCCAGCAGCTTTAAAGGAATAGTACACCCAAAACATGTGTCATGGTGAGTTTTTATAAAATCTACAGCCTCCTAGAAGGTCTCAATTGTTTATCTGTTTTAGAGTTATAAGAAAAACTAATAACATAATGAATGAAGCTTTTTAATCTTTAGCCTATTACCAAATATTCATACACAGTGTAGTTTGCATGGCATTCGATTGCACTGGTTCTTGTATTAGTGCCAGTAATCCAGTAATAACCTATTAGTTTCCCATTACTTATTTTCCTTAAACTGAAGAGAATAATTAACAAACAAAGTTGTGAAATTCTTAGTTTACAGTATATTTAAGATGCAAGTGTTTCAGTAGGGCCCCTTCTGCTTTATTTCAATTCTCTAAAAATCACCAGAATATAGAAAATGATGTATATTGTAAGAAAAATGTTCCACATAATTACAGATCACATATTGTTAATCGGTAACATCTACTGTGCTATAAAAATCCCACATTCTGACACTTTGTTTCAGTGAAATCCTCTGAAAACCTCCAACCTATAGCTGCACCACCCTGACAAGGTTTCCTGTCCAAAGTATTTCAAAATCTCACCCCAAGGTTTGGTGAAGAGTTGGCAGCCCTGTAAACGGATTTTCTATTCAATTCTAATAATCTGCCCTTTTTGTGAATTGTGAACTTATCAATTGAACCATTTGAATGAATTCATTTTCTCATATATTGGCTGGTGTTTGCTCTGTATGTCATCATAGCACACAGGTGCAAGGTAATGCCCATAAATGACAGCTCCGGGGTCAACTCTATGGAAGTTTAATTTGGAATAATAACAAGTTGAATTGAAAAAGTTTTTATCCTGACCTGAAATGTCCCACAGAGGGGTCGGTGGGTGCAGAAGGCTGGGTTTCATTTTTTTTTTTTTTTTTTTGTGCGTCTTCGTCACTCCTTGGAGAGGCGGGCTGCGGCGCACAGACCCACTGCCACTCTCACGCGCACCAGACCTGTGCCAGCTGGGAAACACATGGACCATCCTTGTTGCTTTTCTCTTTTCAGTAAGAGGTCCTCCCCTTTGCCAGTGTGGAATCTTTGAAGCTGTGCGGAAGTCCTAAGTGGAAAAGGGGAGTAGCAGTTTACTCAGAGGGAAGCTATTTATTTCCCTGGCTGACGTGGAGGGAGCGCCGGCTGGACTGTGGGCACCGTGATCCGCGGAGACAGGAGGACATAGGCAGCGCTGACCTGTCTGGATTTTTTTTTTAAATATATATACACAAATATTCACCATAGAACCATTTTCTTCTAGCAGAGCTCATTGTGGTGGGCTCTTTAGTTGAAACAACCCCTCATCCAGCGATGTCAGCTGTGAATGATCTACCGGCTCTCTAATTTCTCAGCCACCCGCCCTTAGAATAAAAATCCTGGCTGTAAGAAAAAAACAAAACTCTGCAGCCGTTGTCTAAAAGCTGGGATTTACACTTTACCATGTCTTGACGTGGAGGGAACGATCTAAAGATGATGACAGTGAGTATCGGTTGATTTAGACTACTTTGTGTTGTGACTTTATGTCTGATCGATAACGCTGCATGGATTGGGGTCAGTTTTTTTTTCACTGCCACAGTCGGAGATAACAGGGCGTTTCAGCGCTTTTGCCGGGTTCCTCCTGGGACTTTGTTGGGAAACATTACATCATTGGAGTGAAGGATATGTATGATTGTGCGTATTTGAGAAACATTTGATTTTTTTTTTCATTCTAAATGAAAGAGAGAGAAAAAAACTGTTATTAGATACATTTGCTTCATAACATAGGGGTAAACTGTCGCTCTGTGTTAAATCATCAGCCAGGGCGTGTGCGATGATGCCCCTTTAATAGAAAACATCTAGGACTGATTTTGGAGCGTAGTATTCTGTCTCATTGCAAATAAACGCCCCTCCACCCGGCTTGATAACGGTGCAGCTGTCAATTTGCGCGTATTTTATTGGCCCAATCCAGGCTGTGGACAGTCTGCGTGCGCTTCTGTTTAATCCCACAGCGGATCAAGCTCTGCGGCTCCCTGCAGCCTGGCGTCTCTCAGCGGCTATCTAGGCTTTCTATATATAAACTACTCACTTTAAATGATTGCGTTTTCTTTGAGTCATGTGACCGCGGCGTACTGACGTGATTGCCGCCGTATTAGAGGAGCGACAAAAGCTGCGAATGTCGGAACAAGTGTTGGAGGAAACGTAAAGAATCGGTGATCGGGATTTTAAAAGGCGATTGTAGGAGAGCCAGCCATGATAGGCCGGCTCTCACACCACCGGGGCTGGTTACCATTCTGTTCCAGGGAGCGCGCCTGATGAGCGCGTCGGTAAGGTGGCTTCACTATATACCCTCTTCCATGAACATTCAGATGCATTAAGGCTAAATTCATTTCCCTCTGTTTTTTCTTTGTTTGTTTTTTGTTTGTTTGTTTGCTTGTTTTTCTTTACCAACCAATAGATATTCCAAGCAGAGGAATATATAGATTCAGATTCAGTATGGTTTTGAGAATGTATTACCATTAGAATAATAATTATCTTACATGCAATTCAACATTTCATATCAGATTGAGCTCGAGGAAGATGATTTATAAATCATAAGGGTGGTAAACAGCCATTTGAACCCTTGAATCAATAAATATGTTGACTTTTTTCATGTTCCTCCTATAGGCCTAGAGCTTTCTGATCATTTGTGGCTGATGTAGGGAGAGTATTTGTGCGGTTTGTGATGGCACATATACCAAAACACCCACAAATATTTGCAGCTCTTTTGTTTAATTTCTTTGCTTTGTTTAGAATAATGTGTTGATTGATTTATAATTATAACAATTTAACTTTACTTATCTGACATTGGATAAATTTATCTCTTCATTTAAACCAGGGGTGTCAAACTGGTTCCAGAAAGGGCTGTGTGGCTGCAGGTTTTCTTTCCAACCAAGCAATAGCAGACCAGACTCCATTCATCTCATCAAGTCATCATGTTAAGCCTGGACTCACTTGAAAGAAAACCGGCAGCCACATGGCCCTTTCTGGAACCAGTTTGAGACCCTTGATTTAAACCCACCCCCTTGGGAAGCAGTGGGCTACCATTGTGTGGTGCAATCAGGGGCTAAGGGTCTTGCTCAGGGACCCATAGTGGAGGCAGTGGGATTCAAACCGGTTACTTGCAACCTTCTCAGAGCACAAGCGCACTGCTCTAACCACTAGGCCAACACTCCCAGCCATTGATTGCTTTAACTGAACTTTCTTGGCTAAAATATTTAATACTATCTATTTTCAGTTTTTAGATAGCTAAACTCAACTAAAACAGGAAGTCTCTCACACTAGATGTTAAACTGCCACTTCTCTTGAAATTATAGCCTCTAATAAACAGCATGTTGTAATTATCACTTAGACTTTATTGTCATTGTGTACACATAGAGTGTATACAAAAAGAAATTTCAGTCAGCACAGCTCTCAAGACATTTTCATTTTTAAAGTGCAGCAGTGATTAAAAAAAAAAGTAAGCAGCAGTGATAAAATGTAAACATACGACTGTATGATTTACAGTTTCCAACATTCTGTTTTGTTTTGTTTTTTTGTTTTTTTATATAAACCACATTTTATAGCATTCAACAGTCTAATAGGAAAGAAACTGTTCTGGAATCGTGTCAAACATTTAATAAAAAATTAAATAATAGGTGTCTTCTATGGAATTCCTGCAGTGCCTGTCTTTTTTCCTTAAATCTGGATATATGTTTGAAAAAAAAAGATATCTAATGATTAGGGAAACGTAGTTGCTTTATCTGTTATCAGAAGGGTTTGAATATATGTATTTCTGAAAAATGTTTGAAACTATTTAAATAACGTACATTGATTTCAGATATCGTTGGCGTGCCAAATCAAGAAAGTATATATTTCTGTCTAAATATATGATAGTTTTAGTTATTAATCTGACATGTTATTTGTTTTGAGTTTATATCCTCTTAGATCAGGGATTTAAAATGTATGTTTTGCAAAAGGAGGAATGATCACTTAGTAACACATAGATGTATGGATAATAGTGAATCTATTGCCAACATTTTTATTTTTATGGACATTTGTTTGTCAGGCTCATCTCTGCAGCATAATCCTTCCTCTAACTTGTTTTGTACAGAAATGCAGATTTCTCTAAGCATTTTTTTTCCACCACTTCCCATCAGCCGTTTTCAAATGGACTCTAAGATGCTGAGTCATATTGCTTTCCCACAATAGATATATTTCCTGTACTTCCTTTCCCATAAACAGCTGCATGATCTTGTAGACCTAACTTAATATGAGCTTATTATGACTAGAATAAGAGTGAACGTGAAGATATTTTCCCTCTTCTGTTAAGTCTTATATGAGAAACAGAGCAGGTTCGACTCATCCTGGTCTTCGCCAGCATTTAGCAATCTTTATAATTAATTAGTTTGCAGAGCAGCTCATAATGTGCACACAGAGGAATGTGTTGTTAATTTGTCTTTGTCCCAAGAGAAATGTTGGTGTTCTTTGCTTTTTATTAGGTATTAAAAGTGGTGAGACACTCCAAACAAGATGTGCTGCTCTGGAGATCAAGAAAAAAAGGAGAAATATTGCAACAGGCAAATGCCTGCGTTTGGTGGAGATTTGTGAGTGGTTGTAAACATCAGGGACATTTTCATTAGTTGTGCACCAATCAGTCAGGTGGTGCAACATAGACAAGGTCAGAAAACAGTTCTAGACTCACCTGATCCCTTTATACTGTAGTTGCAAAGCACTCATAGGACCTCGTTGACTGCATGTGCTGTTGTGCAGATGTAGAAGTAGGCAGTGGGATGTTTTTCAGACATCTGTGTTATGGATTTGGTTCTGTTTAAGTTCTATCTTTTATTTCAGTTTGTTATTCTAGTTATTTTTTATTGTATTTGAGTTCTTGGGTATTTCTTCTTTGCCCTCTGTTGCCCTCTTGTCTCAGTCTCCTTTTCTCTAGCTCCTTTCTAGACTCCTCTGTTCACACCTGCTCCCAATCTGTTGATTAGCCTGGTCTTTGTGTCTCTCTCCCATATATGCACCTCCTGCTCAATATCTGTTGCTGGTTTGTCGTCTTTTCTTTGCCCCTTCGTTGGGAGTATTCCTGATTTTCAGTATTTTTGGATTTTGTATGTTTTGTGGATTTTTGCGTCTGTTACCCTTTTAAATTATTAAATCTGCAAGTAGCCACCTTCAGCTTTGTCTGCATTTGGTCCTGTCAAACCTCCACCCAACTTGACAATCTGAAGCCACACAGACTCCACCATTAATGTGTTAAATGCCATCCATAAGACACAGCTATGCTTTTAGAAACATGGAGCATTATGGAGGTAATTACAATAGTTATAAGCAAAGATTAACATGAGGCAATGTGACATTCTCACAGTGTGATTGCTTAGAGTCAAAACACTATGATTTCACCATATAGAGACATTTTATACATTTCCACTGAGAAATAACTGTTTTAAGTCTGTATAACTTAATAACGCTGTATTTCAGTGCCAATGCATCTATAAGCCTATAGCCAAAATTCCCTGAATCTAGTTTGGGTAGTGAGTTCCCGCGCTGTTCTGTGGATGTGACGTCAAGCACGTCCATGATAAATGAGTCGAAGCCACTGGTCTCTATTAATTCACTGGAATGCTGATAGGTCATCACCAGTCGCCATATTAGCCTAGCAGCCGCCATAACATTACGTGCGCTACAGCATCAAACAACAATGATGTTCTCATTTTCAGGGGGCTTAAGACTTTTAAAGTAAAGATAAATTCATCACTTTGACACACACTTGCTGTTTCATAGCATCAACAGATTACTGTCATTTATGGTAAAAAAAAATAAGCACATCACATTGCATATTCAGTATTAATCTTAGGAAGTTTATAAATCAAGTAATCTAACATATTATACAAATCTGTCACAACAAAATTCATGTGTTAATGGAGCATAATAATATTGTAGTCAGCTATTAGGAATATTACATAAACACACACAAAAATGTGCCAAAATTGGTAAATTGATGATACATGCAATATACATGTATTTATTACATTGTTATGGTAAATACATTACATTACAGGCATTTTTATGGCGCGACTCCCTGAGAATGGGGAGTGCCAAGATGGCGACTGGTGACTTCAGATTTTTCGTCCTATCAGCAATCCAGTGAATAAATAGAGATCAGTGGTCAAAGCCAGCAAACAATCAAATCATTATTTTAAAGACAGATTTTGTGGGTACTCAGAAGTGATCAGCATTCAGTTCAACTCAGACACCAATAGCAAACCCATATTAGGTGAAAAAAAAAAACTTTGTCAAGTACAAGCACATGCCATGACAAGCAGAAGAGTGCTGCAGTCCTGTGTTTTGACCGCAAGGGGCAGTATCGTTAGAAAATTCTGTCATGCCCTTTTTAAAAAGATAAAGAAAAAAGAAAAAAGTGACAGTTATTTATACTGCTGTTGAAATAATCGTAATATTTGATATTAGATATACAATTAGAAGATGTATTTATTTAGATTTAAATTCATAGAATAAATCTATTTTTTAAGATAAACTGTAGTTCTCATGGCGTTATTAGAAATGAAACTATAAGGCTTGATTAGGAAGGCACTCTTTCTGTGTAAACCGAAACTGGCACTGAACTGTGACCTGCAGTATGCAGCAACACGTTGGGGAGGGACATTGCAGTTGTACTATTTTACCATTGCCTTTTTGCTTCCTGTATAACTTGTATTTGGTTTTCTGCATTATATATTTTCACAATCATGTTACTTTATCACCAAAGTAAATTCCTTGTATGTGTAAAACTTTACTTGACAAAACAAATTGTTTCTGACTCAACCAGAAAAAGCTCTGGTCACTTTAAAGGATTTTTAATTTTTTCTGTTTTGTTTTTGTTTATTCTTTGGTTTGAAGCAGTAGCTATTTAAAACCTTGTGTGTACTTTAATAACAAAAACAGTGACTAATTGCTGCCATGACAGAACTAGAGTCTAGATGACACTTAAAGAAGTATGAAAACTCTCAATGGAGTCCTTTAGCATTCCAATAGTAAAGTTGTAAAAGACATACTGTAGATTTAAAAGAAGGAAATGGTACAGGATATCGTTCATGGTACAAATATGATTACATGTATGCTAATTGATATGGTCTATATAGCAGACCATTTGCCCTTGCAGACAGTCTGCACTTAACTATTTAACCAACATGTTGTTTATAGCCTATGAACTGTAGCTTTCAAAAAGCACTATTTTGACTAACTTTCTGCTCTTTTGGTTTCCCTTATATGATGTCACTGTTCTCATGAGCAGGATTTAGCTGCATTTGTATTTCCTCTAAATGGGAAAGTTGAGTAGCCTTTTCTTTTGCTAGATAAACAACAACATGCAATAACAACTGTAGGGGACGGCAGTGATATGTTACTCTAGGCTACAGCCTGAGGACAAAGCTTCAAACAGGAACATCGCCAGAAAATATGAAGTATAAAAATATGACAGAAACCAAGAATTTGTAAATGTTGAGGAAGAAAAATAAAAAAAAAAGAAAACTGAAAAATGTTACTTTTTGTAAATCATAATTATTATACATTATACTAAAAACTATATTAAACTAAAATCGATCTCTGCTGATTACTAATAAAATGGTAAATAAGACATTGTTTCTTTCAGGGCATGAAGAGATGAAGAAGGTCTGAAGATGTATATTTTGAAACTTTCAATTAAAAAATGGCTTATCCAAATATTTTTTTGGCCTGAAAACATTTCAAGCAATTTTTCTTTTGACTTAGTATCATACTAGTGTGGTACTAGGGTGGTATGATAAGAGTTTAAAACAGACGTTGATAATTTATCCGACTATTGTTTCCACACCCAGCCACTGCGGTAACATTACCTGGATTCTTATTAAACTGGACATGCCAAAGTAAGAGTGCATGAGATCTGTTGTGGTAGAAATGGGACACGCGTATGTAAAACTAAAGGAGGAAGGAAGTTCTTGCAGGTCAGGAAGTGTTCTGTGGTTGCTTGTCTAAAACCACAACAGTTCTATGACTTTTCTAAACTTCTCTAAATTCTCCTTTCAGGTTCCTCTTCCCTTTGCCTTTCCTCTTAGACTATGACTGCAGTTTCTTTTGTTATATTTGCAAACTTTTAGGCATTTGTATTTTGCTTTCCTCATCATCCTATTCTTTATTTACATTATTTTTTCTATTTATTTCTCTTTTCCTGCAGGATTATCGGGAGGATGGTATGGACCTGGGGAGTGATGCATCCAGTCGCTCCAGCTCAGAGTCCAACTCCAACAAGGTTACACCTTGCTCTCCTTCTCTTGATCTCGGAAATCTGGAGGACTACAAATCCTCCCCCTCTCCAGATCTGGGCACTCTAGATGACTATGAGGAGGATGAGGACTACCAGGAGTACAAAAAGAAGGTGATAGAGGAGTGGGAAAGCGAATATGGAGAGGACGACACGTCTCCACAGCCTCCTGGTCAGGAAGAAAGCACACAGGGTGTAGTGAGCGGTAGTAGCCTTGAAGAAGGCTACAGGAAGGTGGTGAATGCTCGCAGTCTTGCAGAGGAATTTCAGGATGTAAAGACCATCCCTCCCCTACCGGCCCCAGGAGGACGGAGCACAGCTTCTGTGCCAGCTGTCCCACAAGAACTGAAACAGAACGGGAATCTGATTTTGCCCCAGAGTAACCAGCTCCACTCCTCTAACCTGGCCGAGGGAGGAACAGACACTTCCAAAACAAGCCACCGCACCCCAAGTCAGGGCAGGGGGAGCCGCAGCAGTGTCCGGGGTGGTGGAGGAGGAGGAAGTGGAGGAACTGGTGCTCTGATGCGGGGGTACAGAGAGGAAGAGGAAAGGGAAGAGGAGGAACCCCTGCCCACAATGGATTGGGCAGCCCTGGAGCGGCACCTGGCTGGTCTGCAGTGCAGAGAGCAAGAGAACCAAAACCTAAACCACAACCAGAACCACAACATGGGCAAGACCAACTACACCTCGGTGAGTGTGCTAAAGTTTATAGGTCGTTATTGAAACTCTGAGCTGAGCTTCTCTGCTATACATGTCAAAGGTCATCGGCAGCTTTAATTCAGCAATCTTCCATGTCAGATTAACCCTGCATACACAAGGTTAGGTAACTTCAAGTAAAGAAGAAGGAGGCCAATGTAGTGTCAAGCTCTGTGACCCATGTATATATTACCATGACGAGCAGGATAGTGTAACAGAGCTGGGAGTCAGTGGAATTAGTTTACAGCTTATGGCCATCTTAGCCCTGAGTGTGGTCTTTGACCTTCCAGAACTAATGTATAACCCAATTTTCTGGAGATGTGTTCTTTGCTGTTGCCATGTGATTCTTCCACCAGAAGATGTCAGTGTTGCATAGCTGCAGGCTTGTTAATACATCCCCAGCAGCTCCAGCATTAAAGCTGGATATTTACTACCATGGCAGATTTTAGTCATAACTCTGACACACACCCATCGTTTAACTGTTTGTCTGAGAGTCTAAAGGAGTGCATCCAAATGTGCAGGGAGGAGTAGGGGAAAATTGTTCACTGCAGAGGCAGTTTTGAGAACCAACACTGGGTAAATGTTTGCTTGAAAAAAGCCAGAAAGACGTTTTCCCCTCACCTTCCCCTCCATTGATATGCGAGTAACTAAGACCTTTTCCTCAGTGCACACACACAATGGCCGTGACCCGTGCTATTGTGGCTGTTGTGTGTGTTTAGTTTGTCTGTCCCAAAGGAACCCCCATCCCACCCCCCCGCCTCTGTCTCCTTGAGGCATGTAAGGAATGCAGTGGGAGATGGGGGGGTATAAGAAAGGAAGAAGGGAGGAAAGGACGGGAACGAAGGGGGGGGGGGAGTTCAGGGCCTCATGGCTCGTGTGTTTCTGTCAGTGCTCATTACCTGCTGCCCGTCCTAAACATGAAGATCAACCCCCACTGTGGTTTAGATGGGGGCAGTGTGCTCACCCTCACCCACTCCCCTCCTTTCCTTTAGGCAGTGGGATGTTACCTGGGTGGAAGAGCATTAAGAATATGCAGCACATCACACAACAGAAGAAGGCATGTTGGGATTACTGTGGTAGATTTAGAGAGAGAGTATTGATAATGATTTTGGGATAATAGTTTATAGGATAACCATGCCATGTTTGACAAAACAAAAAGATGTTCACCATGTCATCATTACACATGATAGGTGAATCCTATACAAATGCACCAATGAAATGGGAAAGGCTTGCTTTGAGGTATTACCTGTAAAATTCTATTTTAAAGTTGTTTTGTTTTTAAAAGAAACACTGAAGAAAAACAAAATATGGTGCAGGTTATTTAATATAGGTAGTAGCTTTGAACGTAAAAGATAAGGAATCACAATATGTGATTATGTAGCATAGGTCTGTGCTACCATTGAATATGTTGTGGGGTGTCAGGCAAGGCCATTGTTGTTTTTCTTATCGTCTTTGTTCAATATGTGCTTCTACCATGTTGTTTATGTTACTCTGTGTGCGTTGTGCTTGGATATACCCTAGGAAGCTAAAAGTAAAAAAGAACACCAAGTGAACACTGAAGATAGGCAGATGGCTTTGTCTTAATGTGTTTGTGTATTTAGCTTTGAGAATAAATAGGTACCGGTAAGTCATTACCCTCAAACTCTAAACTTAATATTTCAACCAAAATCTCTACATCTCACAGTTAAAAGGATTTTCAGAAGATACAGCAAAAATAATTAAAGATAAATTTGTTTATAAAGGCCAAATGTTAATACAAATAAAATGGTTTTATAGCTCTGGACTGAAAAGGATCCTAACGCTATGTCAACATATGAATTCAAGCTTTCAGGATGAATAACTGCATTTAATTGTTCAAGATGCTAAAAACGAGCAGAAAAGTAGATATGCCCAAAATGCATTTTCTGCAGATTTTTTTCTTTCTAGCAGTTATACAGCTCTCCTGATAACTGGACACAGCAGACAAAACAAAACAAAATAGGGAGCTTACGCTTTTAAAACAATGTTAAATATTTTAGATCCATACCCGCTCGACCCACCAGTACAAAATTGAGTCTGTTCATGTACAGACGGGTGTGTCTGTCTGTCACTAGAGTCTTCTGGGATAGGAACAGTCACGCATGAGAAGATCTTATAGAGCATCAGTGCTTAAGAGAGACACAACACAGCAAAGCTCAAGGCCACTTATCTGCAGCGATCACTGCAGTGACTTGCAAAACCCTCTCAAGCCTTATGACTTCATTTTTAATGTGATTACTAGTAAAGAAAAAATGTGGCGTCCATTTCTTCCGGCTTGGTCAACATTATTTAAAAGCACCTTTCATCCACCACAGTTTTAACTCCAAGTTTGTTTTGGGTATGTCTCTCCCCGTTTATCTTTGAAATGTTGTATTTTCACAATGCAAAACCTCAAAGGTTTTTGCGTTGTTTTTTATCTAAGTTTTTTACACAAGTTTGCTGTATCACCTAGATGTCCTCTAGTAAACTTTAAAAAGGACTTATTAGCACCAGTTGCTTTCTTTAGATTCCAGCCTAGAACTCCTCGAGTGACCATTTAGCTATCTGCTGCCTCTCTGTTTATTGCTCTCAACATCCCATCAATTTAAAACAGCTAGGCCTTAGGTTTCCACTTGTTTCATACTCTTTTCATTTTGTGAAAATGGATTGGTCTCTGAGATTTTCATAAAACTAAACATTGCTGTTACGGCTTTAAACCTCTGCAGTAGCAACAGGTCGTTATTCTTATTTTTTATCCATTAGCCGGTTATGAAAAGCTTCTGAAATCCAGCATTTGTCTTCATCCTATTCATTTCTGTATAAAGAAAGCAGGTGTGTTTAGTCAGGGTGTGTTTCTCTAGCTAAAGGAAAGTCAGTACATGCCTGCTGACTGTGCATGTGGAGGCACAGTGAGCCACACTTAACAAATTTCCAATGAACTATTGAGACACATGAAAGATGATGTAGACAGTCTGCCTTTTCAGTATGGCTCACCATTTTTAGAAAGGTGTTTATGGTATATTTTTCGAGTGATATACCGCAGAGGTATTAAAACCAATGCCTACAGGCTACTACTTTCTGCATCAGAGTTCACAGGTAGAACGTTTGAACACCCTGTGGGGAGCCTGTGGTTACAAAGATAGCGTCTCTGCTGAGACCTGCAGCACTACATCTGCCTAGAGAAGAAAACCTCTGTCACTCAGACACGTATTGACTGAACATGCTAGAATCTTTACACCACATGCTATGTAGAGCTCTAAGGAAAATCTGTAGCTTGATGCAAACAGTGATGTTGAGTGATAGACATCAGAAGTGTGATAAAACCAATTTATATTCTTTTGCAGTATTTTTAGACAGATGATTTTGTACTTCCTCCTGAATTCCTTCTACTGTCCGATAACAACAAGAAGCTTTGTTTAAATGTAATTGTATTCTTCAGTTAAATGCTTACATGTAAAGGTATTGTGGAGGATTTTCGTGAATTTTTTAAAAGACCCGCCCTCTCCACTTTAAAAAACTGCATGTGCGAGAGCATGCACAAGCCCATTTCTCTTAGTGCACACACTCTGTTAAAAAGTTGCTGTTCTCATAGATTATACAAGCTTACTGTGCCCAAAAATCAGCCCTAACCCTTAAATCCCTCAATCACTATATAGAGTGGGGACTATATAGTGGACTTTATAGTCAACGTTTTGCTCCGTTGGTCATGTGACTCCTCCTTCACTGCGTGGTGCCAGCGCCATCTATGTTATTGGTCGCCGTTGTCTGGTAGCGACAGCGGGCCGCTGCGACAGCAAATCCCATAATGCTTTGCAAGGAGAGCTCTCCGCACAAAGCATTCTGGGGTATATCTGCCTCTTCTGAGGCCTTTCTTTTCTTATCATACACTTCGTAGACACTTTTTCTCTTAAGACCTTCTGCCATTTTCAAAGAACTACAACAAGAAAAGTTAGCTTCGTTGACTGTCTGATACTGTTGCACACCAAATATATACACCGGAAAGTGCGCATGCACAGGAAAATATAGCTAACTGGGGACGAGCACGTAGGACGGCCTTACATAAACATATCACCAGAATGATTGACAATTAGGATGACCACTTATTTAGATGATCCACCCGGAAATAAAAGATCATCCTATATACCTTAAAGTCCAACATTTACATCTAAATTATTTTGTTGCTTTGCAATCAACCTTTTTGATTTTTATTCATAGTTCCTTTATTTTATACATTTAACCTATAAAGTCTTCATGATGAGGAAGTGTAACCTTGAATCTAAGTTTTACCAAGTCTTAAAAATGTTTTGGTTTAACTGGATATTTACTACCATTTACTAGCTAGTTTTTTATCTTAACCTTCTCTTAGAAATTTAATCTAAAGTCAGACTGTATTAAACAATTAATATTAATTCTTTATTTTTTCTACATCTTTCATTAAATGAGAATGGCCAAGAGCTAATGACTGATTAATGGAGGGATACATTGATTTAAAATACAGGCTGATACTTCATACAACAAAACAATGCAGGTTATGTGCTTAAATACACATCAGCCTAAAGGTTGCCGTAAATTATGCATTTCATTTGATTATTTATGGTTTAAATTCCCTCATTGGTGATGTTTTTACTGCCATGCATCATCTGATCTGATTAAGGACAAACTTGGTTTAAGGTTTAACAAGTGATGTAGGGATGACAAATGGTTTGTGAGACTAGCCAGCGGGGATGGAAAATAACAAAGTACATGTTCTTGATTACTGTACTTAAGTACTTTTTTTTAGTATCTTTACTTTGCTTGAGTAATTTTATGGAGGGAGCATTTATAACTATCTACTCCACTACATCTGAAGGAAGCTGCTAGTTACTTGTTCCTTTTAGCATAGCTTTTGAATCTGCTGTTGCTGTTTGTCTTCCTTCTAATGCCATTTCAACATGCAAGATATCAACCTTTAGAACTAAATCTGGACATTACTGTTTAAGAGATTTCAATGACATTCC